CTCCATTTTGTTGAGGAGTATCTGTGCACGACGTTTCCAAAATAATTCCTTGACGTTTATAATATTCAGATAGAAGATTGGTTTGAAACTCCATTCCATTATCTGAACGTATGCGTTTAACTCGCTTGTCAAATTGATTTTCTATCATGTTGCAAAATTCTATCAATTTTTGACAAACTTCAGATTTATTTTTCATGAGGTAGACCCAAACACCTCTAGTGAAATCATCAACAATAGACAAAAAATAGCGTGCTCCTGATGTAGAATCACATCTATAACCTCCCCATATATCACAATGTATTAACTCAAAACAGCAAGTGGTCTTACTTGTACTTTTGGGAAAAGAGAGGCGAGTTTGTTTGGCTCGCAAACAGGGATCACAAAAATTACTGTTGTGTTGGAAGCCCTTAAGAAAAGTGATGTGTTGTAATTTTCCATCTGAAGCATGTCCCAAACGTTGGTGCCATAAATTGGTATTAAGAACTGCCGACATTGCCGCCCCTTTACCTTCTGGTGATTCTAGGTAATACAGACCATTATCGAATCTTCCCATACCGATTAGCTTTCTTGAGGCTAAGTCTTGTAATATACAAAAGTTGGAGAAAAATGTCAATGTACAATTGAGGTCGCTAGTGAGACGACTTGCGGAAAGCAAATTGCATTGAAACTGTGGAACATATAAAACTCGCCGAAGATGGAATCCATTAGATAAATTCAGACTACCAACGGCAGAAACAGGAACTGAATCGCCATTAGGGATTCTAACTGCCGGTACAGATGGGTGAGTTAGAACATTGAACATATCATTGCCATCACATGTGATATGCTCACTTGCTCCAGAATCAATTATCCACGAACGAGTGTGAGGCGGAGTTCTTGCCATTTGGACTTCAGTATTGAGATCAAATCTCTAAACAGAATCAGAATTCTTGTTTCCAGGTTTTGGCTCTGATACCATGTTAAAATCTAAATGCATGATATAAAATATTAAGAGTGGAGCTAAATATGATCGAAAGAGAATGGCGTAGAAGCTGTAAGTTTATTTATGATCCTTGTGTGTATTAATACACATTACAAATAAGAGTGAGAGAGAATAAAAATAATAGAGTATGGGGCATGCAAATGAATGCACCCACGTAACATGGTCTCTAGTTGGTGATGTATACATGCATGTGCATGTACGCACAATAATACACTATCAGTACAACTAATAATAATAGTAATATTTAAATAATTCTCAATAGTATTGAGTACAAAATTAGTAATAGCCTAATAGGTACTCGTATGTTTTACTATATTATACTCCGTAGTTAATACGTAGTGTAATTTAAAAATGACCAAGGAAAAGAAAACAATGTTTTCAATTTAACTATACGCTATGAAATATTCAGAATTTTGTAATAGAAGTGATTTTGTACTTCAAAGACAATGTTCTGAAAAATATTACCTTCTTCCCAAAAAAAATTACCGTTGGTCCCAAATAAACTTCACTTTCCTTTTAGGAATCCAAAATAAAGTTCACACTTTTTCTTTTGTCAAGCTTTTAATAGGACAGTATAAAGTTACCTTTATACCCTTACTTTTGTAACCTATACTCCACTCACTTTCTCTCTCCCACCACATTTAATTTACTTTTGTAGGGGTATGTTGGGAAAGTCAAAAGCAAAAATTTCATTTTCTTAAAAACCGTAAAGTCAAAGTATGAAGTTTATTTGAGGATCGGAGGGAGTATAATTTGGTACTTTTAATCGACTACTATACGGAGTACACAATTAAGGTGTAAAATATTACTAACTAATATCATATGAAAAATGTGACTTTAGTTTTTGAGCCCGTTTGGTAGCATCAAAATTGGCTGTTTTGGTTGTTTCTGCTGAAATTTATGAAGTTCAGGCTGAAGTGGCTGCATTGGCTGATTCTGTTGATTTGAGAAAAAATTATTTTTAAAATATATTTTATTAATAAAATAAAGAAAAAATTATATATAAAAATAGCTAAAATGGTCATGTACAGTAACTTCAGCCAATACAGTCAGAAAAGTAACTCCAACCTTACTTTTTCTGCTTATTACACAATTCAGCGCGCGAAAGCAAAAGTTACGTGTTTGGTGAAAAAAGCTGGCTGATAAGCCTGATAAACCGAAAAACAGTGGTTCCAAACGGCCTCTTTGTCTAGGGCACCAAATCAGCTGACGGCCCAGCACCGAAGCTTTTGATAGGGTTGATCTTGTCATCTCTATTCCAGTGGTGGAGATGGTGGCAAGGTGGACTATATTTTTAGCCGGTCATTAACAAAAGCAATTTGGGTTTTCTCTACCAGTAATAGCCGGTCAATATTCATTGCCGTCAAACTCCCATTTTCTCTTATCTTCCTCTGTTCCTCACGTTCTCTTCCAAGAAAGTCACTTGTTGCAAACTGTAATTCATCTCTGCATTCTTCTTGGTCAATTTTTTTCGTGTCCAGAATCTAAGGCCTTGACCTTACTTTGCGAGTTGGAACCTTATGTGACTGAACCGCATAATTACTGAAATGAGATCCTCGTTTTTAAGCTTAGCACCGGCTTCGGTGATTATGAAAGTGTATTGTCTTGAGAAACTTCCGATGGTCGAGGTTGTTAAGACTGCCATCGTTCCGGTCATTGTGAAGGTATGCCGTGTTGTAAAACCATCAAATTGACAAGTGTGAATTATTCATCCTTGTCACTAGGACACCAAGATGTTCCTGATCTTTGTATTAATCCTTGTAACCTAGTTAGAATAGGTGGCTCAATTTGTTATTGCCACCAAATCTGTACTCATCATTTAGGTGACTAATCATCAAGCTCAAACACTATAAATAGGAGCTTGATGAAGCCTTGTAAATTAATTCAGAAACTCAGAAATTCAGAAATCTTTATATTAAGAAGAAGTATAACTTAGAGATTATTATTAATATATCTATCCTTTAAATCTGTTCTTCATCTTCTTCATTTTACAATAGGGGTGGGCACGGTCCGGTCCGGTCCAATATTTGGCCGAACCCGTACCCGTACCGTTACTATTGAAACGGTTCGGTACGGTTCGGTCTTAGACCCAAACCCGTTCGGTACGGTCCATTTTCAAACGGGACGGTACCATGTCATACGAATAACAAACAATGCCACTTTTTCCAGGTGTTTAAGAAAAAATTAAAGTTTAGTCATCCTCCAAAAATTCACACAATTTATCAATTTTCATATATCATACTACCTTTGTTCCAAATTGATTTGCAAAGTCAATCTTTTTTTGGTCAAACAATTTCTTTTTATTCACTTAATTAGATTTTCACTTTTAAATTATATTCTAATTTGGCTTTTCAAAAAAACTACTCCGTACTTCGTATATTTTAATTTAGATTTTGCAACTTTAGAGAGATTTTAATGTGGTTTCTAAATATGTAAATTTTAATTGTATTAATTATCAAGAACTTAACATTAACTTTGACAAAAAAATGTTGGCTTTGCAAATCAATTAGGGACGGATGAGGTAATTAATATATTTTAGATAAACTATTGTAGTACAAATTTAATAAACCATACTTCGGTCCGGTTCGGTCCGGTACTGGTTCTCATTTTATGAGAACCGGTCATGGCATTGTTTGGAACCGGTTTGGTCCGGTTCGTGACAAAAAATTTCGAGATCCGTTTCAAACCCCGTTTATCGGTCCGTTACCATACCGGTCCGGTTCGGTATCATGCCGGTTCGGTATTTTTGTCCACCCATATTTTACAACACGTTATCAGCACGAATCTGCTAAAAAATCTCCAAGAAATCATCCTGCAGGTACGAACATCATCATATATTATTACTGTTAATTTTATCTTCAAAAATTACGAGGAGTATATGACTAGCCGAAATTAAAATTATATTTGTTTACCCACTATAAAAACAATGTTAACATACGTACCTTCAATATGTTCTTCTCTTCAATCTTGATAAACTCTTCATTTAAAGGTATGAGTAGTATTTCATAAAATAAAGAAGTAAAGAAGAACACGGATTTAGAAATTAAATACGTAGTATGAAGGAAGATATATGGTGGATATCATATATGGTGGATATCATATGTAGAAAACACTAAGTGGATATCTAATGTCTAAACCAATAACTAATACCGAAAACACTAAGTGGCATCACTGGCATGGATATCTAATGTCTAAACCAATAACTAATACCGAGTACTACTTTACGTACTACAACGAAAGCAATAAGCCATATTATCTGATGCTCATATTTAAATGCGAAAAAGTCTTTCTCACATCCACTAAGTTAGTCACGGGTTTTGTATTTTATTACTGACATGCATGTATAGTTCTTTATTATTTTTGTCATTATACACAAAGAAAGTAAAACGGTTCTGAGCAAATAATCACATGGCCTTACACATTTGATTAACAAGTTTGTCGTTAAACACAAAGAACGGAAGGAGTTGAGAGGAGGTTCTACATAAATGACCAGAGGCTCCTCAACTTTCTATCTAAAAACCAAAGTAACTGTCAGTAACCCATTTCCAATAAATGTTTATGGTTAGGCAGTGACTGTTTTTATTAATAATCATCAGTTTTATCTTTATAAATATAATCTATTTAATTTAATTATTATACACTCCTGCATATATATCTCTTATTAATATCAAAGTGGGCAGGTGGCAATCACATTATTTTGACACCTGTATAGGATTAGGCTTAGACACAAGCTGTGACTGCCACATGTCTCCTCTATATAATTATAATAATGCACAAAGTTAATTACTACAATAAATAAATTACTCCGTGAGTTGTAATAGAAAAGAAAATCTTCATACATCAACGGTTGATAAACTTTATAATTAGTATACTGTTTATAAGATTTATTTCAACATATTTCAAATTACTATTTTAATACAGAGTATAGTGGTAAGTATTTGTTTATGTGAATATACACTTTACTAAATAGACTGAAATTAATAATTTTTGTAGTATCATGGCAAACATAAGCAAAAGAGAATTTCATGTTCTTGTCTGTCTGGACAAAAATACCTGGAATGGAAAGTTGATGCTTTAGCACATTTGAAGGCTAATGGTCTTGAAGACACTATTGAGGCAAATAAGCCGTCATCTGCCCAAGACAAAGCGAAAGCTATTATTTTCCTCCGTCACCATCTCCATGAAAGTCTCAAATCTGAATATCTTTTGGTTGATGACCCAAAAGAACTATGGGACAATTTACAGGAGAGGTATGACCACCAGCAAAAGGTCCTTTTGCCTAAAGCTCAATATGACTGGATCAATCTAAGATTCCAGGACTTTAAATCTATCAGTGACTATAATTCTGCTATGTTCCAAATAACATCCAAACTAAAGTTATGTGGGCAAAAAGTCACTGATGCTGATATGTTGGAGAAAACCTTTTCTACAATGCATATTTCTAATATGCTGCTACAGCAGCAATACAGAGAAAAGGGTTTTAAGAAATACTCTGACCTTATATCAGTTTTATTGGTCGCTGAACAAAATAATGACCTTTTGATGAAAAATCATAATCTGAGACCCACTGGTTCTAGTCCTTCGATTTATGGTCCATCTGGACATAACATTGCCACTGAATCAAACGCAACACACAGTGGCACACGAAGGCATTTTAAACATGGGAATTTTAGTGGTCATAATAACAAGTCCCACCGAGGATATAAACGGGTCGAAAGATCATATTACAAGGGCAAGGGCAAACAAAAAGCCCATCAAACAAATCGCCCTACAAAAACCTCGGTGAAGACGACTTGTTACAAATGTGGCATGACGGGACACTGGGCTAACAAATGCCGTACTGCAAAGCATCTTGTGGAGTTATTTCAAGCTTCCATGAATTTAAACAAAGGCAAAAATGTGGAAGCGAATTATGTCAATGATACAACTCCATCTCTGCCAAAATTCGATGTGTCCGACTTCTTCATGGATGATAGCATAATGGACGATGCTTTTGCCACTGATCAAAATAACACAAAATAAATTAGAAGACTTTTGCATGTTGTAAAATAGTAGTTTATGTTTTCATGTATTATGTACTTTTTCTTTTATGTTGTTCTCACAGATAAATGTGTAATATATATGTACTTTTATGTTAAATAATCTGCATAATTTGTGATATCTACATTACTACATATCAAACTTATGTTTATTTACATATATTGAAGATATGGATCACTCAAATGATAAAGAGCTATGTCTGATAGACAGTGCCACAACGCACACCATTTTGAGAAAATAAAATATATTTTTCTCAAATGACTTTAGTTGAAGCTAAAGTCAATACAATATCAGGTGTTGTGAAGCTCATTGAAGGCTCTGGGAAAGCATATGTGATGCTCCCTAATGGGACAAAATTACTTATAAATGACGCTTTATACTCCAGCAAATCGCGGAGAAATTTATTAAGCTTTAAAGATATGCGTCAAAATGGTTATCACATAGAAACCATGAATGAAACCCAAAAGGAATATCTTTGTCTAACGACAACTAAATCTGGCACTAAATGTATTTGTGAAAAAATGCCAGCATATTCCTCAGGACTATTTTCACTCATATTAGTCCATTCGAAATAAATTTGGTTTCTAACGCAAAGTTAGATGATCAGAAAACATTCATGTTGTGGCATGACCGTTTAGGTCATCCAGGCCATGTAATGATGCATAAAATCATTAAGACTTCACTTGGACACCCATAAAAGAATATAAGGGTTCCAATATCAAGGGATTTTCCTTGTAAGGCCTGTTCTCTTGGCAAAATGATCATCAGGCCTTCTATGAACAAAATTGCAACTGAATTACCTGCATTTTTAGAAAGGAATCAAGGAGATATTTGTGGGCCGATAGCCCCACCATGTGGACCATTTCGATATTTTATGGTGTTGATTGATGCTTCAACACGTTGGTCACATGTTAGTCTTTTATCGACTAGAAATTTAGCATTTGCTAAACTCCTCGCTCAAATTATACGATTAAGAGCTCATTTTCCGGATCATTCTATAAAGAGAATCCGACTTGATAATGCAGGAGAATTTACTTCCCAATCATTTAACGACTATTGTATGTTGATGTGTGTTTTCTCGCACTTAAAATGGTTGTAGAAAAGTGGTTGAAAGTATGAGTATCGTCTCCACAGGGACGGACAAAAGGGAATTAAAAATTAACTAAATTTAGCGATTAAAAAGAAATAAATAAAATAAAATGCAATTGTGCGAGATTGATTGATTGAATTAAAATTAAAACTAATGCAGATGAGCGATTAAAATAAATGTGGTTTTCTTATTAATTAACGACGAAGGGAACAAGGATTGATTCCGGGGTAACCAGATTTCTGGCAGATCAGGCCTAATTACATGAATTTAATTTAATTGAGCCTAGCTAATCATTACTAAGTTCTTACCGCTCTCGCGGCATAGAGTACAATAATTTAGGGGACCAGGCTGATCTCTCATGCGACAGGATCCTAAATTATTGCTAAGACGAGAGAGCTTACGGCCCCTTAATCGCTACTAATCTCTTAGCGAACGATTAAGTGTGTGTGAATGTGTCCTAGAACAAATTAGATCTCTCTTAATTCATTCTACATGCAATTGTAATTCTAGCTGCAGTCTAGGTTACAAGAGATATCAATTAAATTATTCAATCACAAATTAAACGGCATTCATGCAATTAAACCGACAAGAATCTAGCCATACATCATGATTAACCCCTTCATCAACCCCAAATCCCTAATTAAACTACTCACAATTCATAATTGAAGAATCAACAGAATTGAGATGAATAGAATAAATTGTCATTAATTAAAAAGATGAACTTACAAATAATCCCAGGGTCTTGGAAGAAAATAGCGTAAAAATGGTGTTAAATTCGCCCCTAGGCCTCTCCGTAATGTTCGTAACGTCAAAATATGGGTATGGGGGTCTTATTTATAGAAAACAGATGAGTTTGGGCTGAACTGGGACTAAAAAAAGCTGAAATCCGCGTCTCGGGTGTACGCACGATCGTGCGTGGCCTGGTACGCACGATCGTGCGTACATGGCAGTAGCTTCACGGTCGTTTTCGCTCTTACGCACGATCGTGCGTACTTCTACGCGCGGTCGTGCGTCCGTGTTTTTTCAGCGTTTTTCTAGTCCGAGTTTGACAAACCTTCCTTCATGAAAGTTGTAGATAATGAAGTCCTCTATCCAACCCAACTTGCCGAATGTGATTTGAATCATCCAATCAAGAGATATGATCAAAACGGTGGAAGGTGTCATTCTGAAATCGCAGCAGAGATCATCTGACTTCATCGTCTGTTTTCACCTTCTTTCTCTCATATTCTCGTAATGGTGTCTTCATATGATTTGTAGCCCTTAAAGTTGGCTTTCATATGCAACTTGAATCGTGTCCTTTGGATTCTTCTACAAAGAGATATGCTTGAACGATTGACCAAAGGTCATCCTGATCGTTGTTTTCCAGCTTCATTCATCTTCTTTTGATCCCATAGCCAATCCTAGAGCTATTTTGTCATCAAATCTTCATCGTGAACCTCCCGGTGACCTCCAAAGCTCTCAATCCACTCTCGAATGCATCTCGAATTATCCCGATTGCTCCTCAAGTGCCGATGTTGAACTCTAAATTCTTTATTTTGACTCCAAATGCAACAAAACTCGAACCAACGCCTATTAAACATAACTTGAGCTAAAATTAAGACTTGCAACACCTTAAATCTAGGAAAACCATCAAAATCCAATCCCAACACGCATCAAATGCGTGTCTAAATACGGACTTATCATATGTCGATTGGGATTGATGTGGAGCACCCTGTTGCTCATGTCCATACACAAAATGGTCTTGCTGAATCTTTGATTAAACGATTACAATTAATCGCTAGACCATTATTAATGAAGTGTAATTTACCTTCATCAGCTTGGGGTCATGCTATTTTGCATGCAGCAAATTTAATTCGGCTTAGACCGACTGCATATCATGAATATTCCCCAATGCAATTAGTTACTGGACAAGAGCCAAACTTAGCACACATAAAAATATTTGGTTGTCTTGTTTATGTTCCGATTGCTCCACCTCATCGTACAAAAATGGGTCCTCAAAGAAGGTTGGGAATTTAGGTTGGATTTGAATCTCCCTCAATAATCAAATATCTTGAACCGATGACTGGTGACTTATTCACCGCACGGTTCGCTGACTGTCATTTCAATGAGACAGTATTCCCAACCTTAGGGGGAGAAACTAATAAATCGGACCCAAGTACGAAAGAAATAACATGGAATGCAACAGGATTATCACACCTTGATTCTAGATCAAATATATGTGAGCAAGAGGTGCAAAAGATAATCCATTTACAAAATGTTGCAAATCAGTTGCCTGATGCATTCACAGACACAAAGAAAGTGACAAAGTCACATATTCCTGCTATGAATGCCCCTGCCATAATTAAAATTCCAGCGGAGAATTCTGAAAAATCTCTCGCAAATGATTCTTCTATACGCAAAAAGCGTGGCAGGCCACTTGGATCAAAAGACATAAAATCAAGAAAGACTAAAAGGCAGGAATTGATCTGTGATGCCAAAGATGTTCATCCTTCTGAACAAGAAAATGAACAATTTGAAAATACTGGCATAGAAAATGATATTGACAAAACAAACATCTCAAATAATGATTCAACTTCCTTAAATGAGGAAGATTTTCCAGATACTGATAGAAACGTTGATAATTATGAAATTTCAATAAATTACGTTTCTACTGGAATGCAATGGAATCGAAAAGATATTGATATTAATGAGATATTTGTCTATGCCGTTGCCACAAATGTTATGAATGAAAACAATGACAATGAGCCAACATCAATAGAAGAATGTAGGAAACGACACGATTGGCCAAAATGGAATGAAGCTATTCAGGCTGAATTAAAATCACTTGGAAAACGTGATGTTTTTGGACCGATAGTCCCTACGCCAAAAGGCGTAAAACCTGTGGGTTTTAAATGGGTATTTGTGCGTAAACGCAATGAAAAGAATGAAATTGTTAGATATAAAACCCGACTTGTTGCCCAAGGTTTTTCTCAAATGTCGGGAATTGATTATGAAGAAACCTATTCTCCAGTAGTGGATGCAACTACATTAAGGTTTCTCATTGGCATGTCTGTTTTTGATACAGACATTTATATGAAAGTTCCCGGTGGATTTAAAATGCCTGAAGCTTATAGCTCGAAACCTCGAGACATGTTTTCCATTAAATTACAAAAGTCATTGTATGGACTAAAACAATCTGGACGAATGTGGTATAATCGTCTCAGTGAATACCTTCTCAAAGAAGGATACAAGAATGATCCGATTAGTCCATGTGTTTTCATTCGGCGATCAAATTCGGGATTCGCCATAATTGCAGTATATGTTGATGACTTAAATATTATTGGAACTCCCGATGAAATTGAAAATACTGCAAAATATCTTATGAAAGAATTTGAAATGAAAGATCTCGGGAGAACCAAATTTTGTCTCGGACTTCAAATTGAGCATTTGAAGAATGGAATTTTCATCCACCAATCCAATTACATCGAGAAAGTGTTGAAGAGATTCTATATGGACAAAGCTCATCCTTTGACTTCACCAATGGTCATTCGATCTCTCAACATACACGATGATCCATTCCGTCCACGAGAAGACGACGAAGATATACTCGGTCCCAAAGTACCATATCTGAGTGCTATCGGAGCTTTAATGTATTTAGCTAATAAAACTAGACCAGATATTGCATTTTCTGTAAATTTATTAGCTAGGTACAGCTCATGTCCAACAAGACGTCATTGGAACGGGATCAAGCACATATTCCGTTATGTCCGTGGTACAATTGATCTCGGTCTATTCTACCACAAAGATGCAAAAGCTTCTTTAATCGGATATGCAGACGCTGGATACTTATCAGATCCTCAAAAGGCGAAATCACAAACCGGGTACGTATTTACTTATGGTAACACCGCAATCTCATGGAGATCTATGAAGCAGACATT